TGCTCTGAGTAATTTTCTATGTTTGGCTCCACCAACAATGTGTCGAGTTAAAAACACCCGATACTTAACAAAAATAATAACTTTGATAATCAAGGATTGCAACTAAAAGAGTCAGTTGAAAAAACAGCTTGCATGGGGAGGGCGAACGAGTCACTTTTGTACTTTAGTAGTTGCTGAATATTAAATTTATTTGATGAACTCTCCCAACTAAGAATATATTTTATGCATGTACGCATATATACACTATGTGTCTGTGTAAACAGAGCTCGCTATCATTTATTATTATTTCACACCCCGACAAAAGTTGTGTCACTGATTCTGTGTACAAACAAAATGCTTGCTGTGTTGTACCGTCACGTGTTTTGGGAGACGGTTGCTCTGAGTAGTCATTTATAACTTATTTGAGTGGCATTTTAAAAGTTGGGAAGTACAATATTGATCAAACTTTATGGATAACAACTTCTTTCGAGAAACAAGAATGACAACGGTAGAAGAATCTGTGTCGGAACGTAGCACTCACGAAATACAGAAGTTGTTCTCCATAAAGTTTGTACAATATAGTCATTTATAACCAAGCACATCACGAGTATAGTCGGCATTTTTCAAAGGACTCTGCTTATACCAAATGTATCTTTTGATTGTGGAAATCATTTTGTCGCTTTAATTACAATAATGTGTTGTTCTACGTAATGTCACAACACAAGTTGTCAGCACAATGTTTCAGCACAAATAAACTATACTACCCATCGAAAGTTTAAACTCACTTAAAGCACTCACTATATGTTGTGTATATATACGTGGTTACATCGAAGATGGATTTCTCCACTAACTTGGGGGAACCATCTGCAAACCTTATGCAGATGAATTGCACGAGGATCATGCATCAAATTGATGAAAAGCATGTGCAAATATCGTGAACAGCTGTTGGTGTAAAGTTTTGTTAAGAATTCGCCAATTTTCACCGAGTTTCATCATTTATTGAACTCGTGACAATAATCTTTTCAACGTTACGAATTTGTTTTACAATACGTCAGTTCATGTGTAAACAGTACCTTTAAACAGTATGGAATATTTTGCAAAATCTAGTTTAGAACAGTTGACTGAAGTAAGTGGCTGCATTTACACTACTGAGTCTAAACTTTTGATATGAAGTATATTTAACTTAAAGGGGTTTCAGGTTTGTCTTGATCAGCCCAGCTCGGTTCAACTTAGCTGACCGACATGATGCCAAATTAGCATCATTACATAAAGTAGTTCCAGTGGGGCGTGGCCATATTTTTCGATTCATCGAGTTATTGGCATAAAGATGGTTTGCTCATCAAATTGTTGGAAATGACATATCATTTATGTATATTGAAATGACATAATATATATGCACAGTTCATATCTGCCTCAGAAATAATTGCTACCAATTAAACCAGATCATTTTAATCATGGGTTTAGTGACTTGTATGGATATAACGTGTTATGGATACAGGAGTCGTATTGCTATAACGTGTTATGATACAGGGGTTGTATTGATATAACGTCTTATGAACACAGTTGTATTGATATAACGTGTTATGGATACAGGGTTGTATTGATATAACGTGATATGGATACTGGAGCTGTATTGATATAACGTGTTATGGATACTGGAGTTGTATTGATATAACGTGTTATGGATACATTGGTTGTATTGATATAACGTCTTATGAACACAGTTGTATTGATATAACGTGTTATGGATACAGGGGTTGTATTGATATAACGTGTTATGGATACAGGGGTTGTATTGATATAACGTGTTATGGATACTGGAGTTTTATTGATATAACGTGTTATGGATACAGAAATTGTATTGATATAGCGTGTTATGGATACAGGGGTTGTATTGATATAGCGTGTTATGGATACAGGGTTGTATTGATATAACGTGTTATGGATACAGAAGTTGTATTGATATAACGTGTTATGGATACAGAAGTTGTATTGATATAGCGTGTTATGGATACATGAGTTGTATTGATATAACGTGTTATGGATACAGGGGTTGTATTGATATAACGTGTTATGGATACATGAGTTGTATTGATATAACGTGTTATGGATACAGGAGTCGTATTGATATAACGTGTTATGGATACAGGGGTTGTATTGATATAACGTGTTATGGATACAGGAGTTGTATTGATATAACGTGTTATGGAGAAAGGGGTTGTATTGATATAACGTGTTATGGATACAGGAGTTGTATTGATATAACGTGTTGTGGATACAGAAATTGTATTGATATAGCGTGTTATGGATACAGGGGTTGTATTGATATAACGTGTTGTGGATACAGAAATTGTATTGATATAGCGTGTTATGGATACAGGGGTTGTATTGATATAGCGTGTTATGGATACAGGGGTTGTATTGATATAACGTGTTTGGATACAGAAGTTGTATTGGTATAACATGTTATGGATACAGGGTTGTATTGATATAGCGTGTTATGGATACATGAGTTGTATTGATATAACGTGTTATGGATGCAGGGGTTGTATTGATATAACGTGTTATGGATACATGAGTTGTATTGATATAACGTGTTATGGATACAGGAGTCGTATTGATATAACGTGTTATGGATACAGGGTTGTATTGATATAACGTGTTATGGATACAGGAGTTGTATTGATATAACGTGTTATGGATACAGGGGTTGTATTGATATAACGTGTTATGGATACAGGAGTTGTATTGATATAACGTGTTGTGGATACAGAAGTTGTATTGATATAACGTGTTATGGATACAGGGGTTGTATTGATAAAGCGTGTTATGGATACAGGGTTGTATTGATATAGCGTGTTATGGATACAGTGGTGTATTGATATAGCGTGTTATGGATACAGTGGTTGTATTGATATAGAGTGTTATGGATACATGAGTTGTATTGATATAACATGTTATGGATACAGTGTTATTGATATAGGGTGTTATGGATACAAGAGTTCTATTGATATAACTTGTTATGATGCAAGAATTGTATTGATATAACGTGTTATGAATACAGAAGTGGTATTGATATAACGTGTTATGGATACAGGGATTGTATTGATATAACGTGTTATGGATACAGGGATTGTATTGATATAGCGCATTATGGATACATGAGTTGTATTGATATAGCGTGTTGTGGATACAGAAGTTGTATTGATATAGCGTGTTATGGATACAGGGGTTGTATTGATATAGCGTGTTATGGATACAAGGGTTGAATTGATATAACGTGATATGGTTACATGAGTTGCATTGATATAACGTGTTGTGGATACAGAAGTTGTATTGATATAACATGTTATGGATACAGGGGTTGTATTGATATAGCGTGTTATGGATACATGAGTTGTATTGATATAACGTGTTTGGATACAGAAGTTGTATTGGTATAACATGTTATGGATACAGGGTTGTATTGATATAGCGTGTTATGGATACATGAGTTGTATTGATATAGCGTGTTATGGATACAAGGGTTCTATTGATATAACTTGTTGTGGATGCAAGAATCGTATTGATATAACGTGTTATGAATACAGAAGTGGTATTGATATAACGTGTTATGGATACAGGGGTTGTATTGATATAATGTGTTATGGATACAGGGATTGTATTGATATAGCGCATTATGGATACATGAGTTGTATTGATATAGCGTGTTGTGGATACAGAAGTTGTATTGATATAGCGTGTTATGGATACAGGGGTTGTATTGATATAGCGTGTTATGGATACAAGGGTTGTATTGATATAACGTGTTATGGATACAGGGTTGCATTGATATAACGTGTTGTGGATACAGAAGTTGTATTGATATAGCGTGTTATGGATACAGGGGTTGTATTGATATAGCGTGTTATGGATACAAGGGTTGTATTGATATAACGTGTTTGGATACAGAAGTTGTATTGGTATAACATGTTATGGATACAGGGTTGTATTGATATAGCGTGTTATGGATACAGGGGTAGTATTGATATAGCGTGTTATGGATACAGGAGTTCTATTGATATAACGTGTTATGGATACAAGGGTTGTATTGATATAACGTGTTATGGATGCAAAAGTTGTATTGATATAACGTGTTATGGATACAGGGGTTGTATTGATATAGCGTGTTATGGATACAGGGGTTGTATTGATATAGCTTGTTATGGATACAGGGGTGTATTGATATAGCGTGTTATGGATACAGGAGTAGTATTGATATGACGTGTTATGGATACATGGGTTGTATTGATAAAAGGGTTATGGATACAGCCAAGAAAACATTATTACACAAGATGAGGTGAAATCTGGACGGAAAGATCCGATTATCCATATTGATACTTTTTTTCATTCAGAACTCAAAGTTCTTCCAATGGTTATAGAATGTATCATGTTATAATTATGTATAATTTGTTGTCTTCCAGAAAAAACTCTAAACACTGGAGGAAAATGACTGAACATCTGTTCTTTTCATCCCCTAACGGAAATTATAATATGTACACAAATTTACTGAATTACAAGCTTTCGGCCTCCCATTCTTCAACAGGAACACTGTGTGTTCATTACTACATTGCTTGAGATGGTTATTTCCATTTCTACAACTTTCGTTACGATGTCATAATACAATCAATGTTGGATAAGTATACACCCTGTGTTTAACGTTATACGTAACGAGTATCTTAGAATAAGTATCAATAGTAATATAGACCTAAACCAAAGTCCGAAGCCAGAAAGTTTGAGATTACGAATATTCAAATACAGTTTGTTTAATTTCCAAATGTATTTTGCAGTTGATGTAGCTCCTGAAATGTGATAAATGCACATCAACTATGCAGGATTAGAAATTTGAAAATTTCAGGTTAACTTTGTTTTGGAATTGTCTTCATTTTTGGCACTTTGTTTATGATTAACATGCCCCTCAATGTTATGCAATGTTCAACCATACAATACATGTCTTACCGTGTATGCTCTATGTGTTTCAGTTGTCATCCTGGATGAAATCATAGAGAAACAGAACGACAAGATCCCTGATATACTGGACCGATTCAACAGACAAGACAACCCGTCAGTTACATTCCAGCTCGTCAACTCGCAAAACAATGACTCACTTGGCACACTAGATAAAGGTACGTACCACATCGTCTATAATTTTATTCAGCAAGTACTCTCTTGGAACACTTGACACAGGTAGGTACCACCTAATACACAGTCTTAGACAGCAACCGGACTCAGATCACAGTACATATGGCTAGGTACCTACTCGTTTACAAATTACACTCCTATCCAACATGGACTACCCAGCACACTAGACATAGGTAGGTACCTGCTCGTATACAGTCTTATCCAGTGAAAAACATTTTCTCGACATACTGACAAATGTAGATACGGACTGGTCGGATATTGGGCCCAGAGAGTGAGTTTGGCAATATGGCGATATCAGCCTACCTGCTCACGTGTTGAAATGTCACGAAATGTCAAAGCATTACCACGGGACTACTGCATGGTCGCGACCAGATTATAGACCAACCAGTCAATATTCTGATATTCAAGCAGTTCCTGAAACAGATAATTGCATCCCAGTCCCGAGCTCCTGTCAAATAGCCTATAATTAGATTTTTTAATAAAACATACTTATAAATCGTTATGATCTAAAATATATTCTAATGATATAAAAATTTCTAAAATGAATAAACATCATCTCATTTTCAAACCGGAAATCGTTCAACTTATTGGTCGTGTTAACAACCGCGATAAATTCGATGCTACAGAGACAAAGGATAATCGAACTGCGATTCGAACATACGACCCTGACTGACATAAAAACCTTGTTTAACTTATCAACTGAACTAACAATGTGTATTCAGGAACTTTTAAATTCTCTTGTGATAGTCGACTTCAACTCCCTAATGTGTGTATTCGCTTCTATCCCAATACCCACATGGGTACAATGTGTGAAGTCCATTTCTGGTGTCCCCCGCCATGATGTTGCTGGAATACTGCTAAAAGCGGCGTAAAACCAAACTCAGTCAGTCTATCCCAATACATGTCTCTGAAAGCCTTCAGGAGCCATCTGATGACCACATCGTTTATACACGTATACGAATGTTTTAGCTTTTATCATCCAAGATCTGATTGGTCGTTATATTGTCGTGGTGACTGATGTACTCCCTGGGGAACCCACACTGCAATGATGGTACGACTTGTAATTAATAACATAATGATTTTGCTTCCTAGATCAATGGCTTTTGAAAGTAATTTTTGTATTTCATATAAATGGAATATCTCTCGTGTTTCGGATCAGCCACATGTGACTCTAATGAGGCGAATACATATGTATTGTAGGGGCCCCAGCTGCTCCAGTGACTATCCTCCAGTATTAATAGCTGACCACAAAAGGCTTTAGAAAGATGACTATACCTTTATGTTAATGTCCTATTATCCAGTGTATTGTATTTCCATTCTCTGGTAATAAATGTTCTGGACATTCTGCTACCTATTCCATGCCAAGAATTAACATTCCCTTTTGTGTCCTATATAATGTCGTACCATTGTTTCATATGATTTTCAAATCTATTTTGCCCTTTACATCAAATTGGATCTGTTTCTGAACAGTCAAGACCGAGTATTGCTTTGCATTGTCGTTTCATATTTACAAAATAATGATTCCTTGGATCTTACTGGTATTAATGTTACAGTTACCTATTAATCATAAAATATGTTAGTATTTTTCTGTATGACGTACTTCAGCAATAGAAATGTTCCCATTAAACAGCATGTGCACTAAACTATCAATATCATTTGCAAAATGACTATATGATGGGACTGTAGCCTTTCACTGAAAAAACTTGTCTGTCCGTCCTATTCATTTAAGTGATAGAGGTGTCATATACCAGCATACTGCTTTATGTGATAGATGGGCGATATGGTAGAATATTGCTTCATGTTCCAGGGAGGTGATACAGTAGAAACACAAGCACAACATCATACAACGGGTTTTTTTAGAGACAGTTGATGGAATTCAAAATATATATTCTTCAGGACTCTAGCCATTCTGTTATTTTATTAAAGAGCTCATTTCATTAAAGTATAATTGTCATTGTATTGTCAGTATGTGACAGAGTGAGGGACGGTGTGGTGGGCATCATCGACATCACATCCCCAAGTGTCGCGCCCTTGATGAGGTCCTTTGCGAGCACACTCGGCATTGCTTACACCTCCATCGTCGACAGCTCCTACTACCGCTACTCAAGCGGCGACAGCAGCATACACTTCGAGGTGGAACCTACTTCAGTCGAGTTGCTACGTGTCGTCGCAGCCATTGTTCGCAAGGAGAATCTGAACAATGTTGCCATTGTCTATGATGAATCTTTCGGTAGGTTGCTTTTAGTGTGCTTTCCATCGGGAGTGTTTTAGGCAGGTTGTAGGAAGGGAGAGTTAGGCAGTAACCCTACGGTTAACATGAATATTAACTTATGACGGCAATGGTGTATTAACCTGAACACTGGGTTTGGCAACACTGATTAAATTGTTTGACAAAATCAACATTTAAGCCTACTTTGTTCTGAAACAAAGTTTTATTTATTACAAAGATGAAATTTATCAAAATATTAATATAATAATCCCAACAGTTGATTTGATTTTTGTTGTGTTGTATATTTTAAACAGGCTATACTGTTCAGTGTAAGATTATTACTCCAGTACGACTAATGATAGACAAGAAGTGACAGATTGCTTGTTAACCAATAGACATCCAGAACACCCCCCGGCGAGTGCTGACCAATGTTCCGGCCCAGCATCTGTACGTCCGCCAGACGTCCGATCAAGAGGAGACCAAGAGGCAGCTGAAGATGCTGCAGGACATCGAGATCAAGAACATCTTCATCATCTCCAACGTTGACAACGCTGAAAAGTTCCTCGGCTCGGTGAGTTAGATCTATAGGCTCATATCGGTAGGGAGTTGTACAAACAAACCCAACACAAACATATACTTAAGCAGCGTAACTTCAGGTTTCGATTCCGTCATTAGTTCAGTGTGGTAAGTCCATTGTTTGTGTCCACCACTGTTATAATACTGTCATATTCTTTAAGTGTCGACCCGAGAAGATCCGGGTTAGCATTGATCTTCAGTAACCCATGCTTGTCGCAAGAGACTAACGGGATCGGGTGGTCAGGCTCGCTGACTTGGTTGACACATGTCATCGTATCCCAATTGCGTAGATCCATGCTCATGTTGTTGATCACTGGATTGTCTGGTCCAGACTCGATTATTTACAGACCGCCGCCATATAGCTGGAATATCGCTGAGTGTGGCGTAAAACTAAACTCACCCACTCACTCACTCTCAAAGTGTCATTACACTATAACCATAGATTCCTAGTAACAACTTTGCAGGCATATAAGGCAGAGGTAAACCGTGGTTCTGTAAAATATTGATATCATAACTTATAGTTATAATGGTAATAAAAATCTAATGCTTGTATCTGGAGAATAAGTGCCAGAATAAGTGTAAACACAGACCCGGAAGTAGTGTAAATGACAGCTGATGGCTAAAGGATGGTCACCCCACCATTCACATTCATCTGCTGCTTTACATATAGATGATAACCAGACAAGTGACCATTCTTTGTTTCAAGTACACAAAACTACTTTTATGTTGTATAAACAGAGCTTTAACATGCAACTGACCGTGATGTATGCTCAGTGGTGGCCATATTGCGGCACTGAACTCTCGCCGGTGTAACCTTGGGAGTCACCACATTCAGTTGATAGGACACCATCGAAGAACTAAAATACCTGCTCGATGCAAAATCCCAACTCACTCAATGCTATGTACAGATTTTATGATTGGGAATCGACCGCCAACACTGGGCGACATAGAGGTTCACTGTGGAAATCTATAAATACACGGAATTGTATAAAACGTATGTGTAAATGACAGCTGATGGTAAATGACAACTGATGGTCATGGTCACCCCACCATTCACATTCATCTTCTGCTTTACATATAGATGATAACCAGACAAGTGACCATTCTTTGTTTCAAGTACACAAAACTACTTTTATGTTGTATAAACAGAGCTTTAACATGCAACTGATCGTGATGTATGCTCAGTGGTGGCCATATTGCGGCACTGAACTCTCGCCGGTGTAACCTTGGGAGTCACCACATTCAGTTGATAGGACACCATCGAAGAACTAAAATACCTGCTCGATGCAAAATCCCAACTCACTCAATGCTATGTACAGATTTTATGATTGGGAATCGACCGCCAACACTGGGCGACATAGAGGTTCACTGTGGAAATCTATAAATACACGGAATTGTATAAAACGTAATTCTGATGCTATGGACTTCAATTCACAATGTCTATTTTTCATTCCAGGCGGACAAGCTGGCTAACAGTAACTTTGACGTCAACTGGTTTGTGCTGACGAAGGTGAGTTGTCCCATCAGGGCCATCAGCCATGCACACCAAATAGCCTGTATATTTAACATAGATACGTACATTATTGCTTGTAAGAGGCGACTAACGGGATCGGGTGGTCAGGCTCGCTGACTTGCTTGACACATGTTATCGTATCCCAATTGCGCCGATCCATGCTCATGCTGTTGATCACTGGATTGGCTGGCCCAGACTCGATTATTTACAGACCGCTGTCATACAGCTGGACTATTGCTGAGTGCGGCGTAAAACAACAACCAAACCAAAACATTATTGCTAGCTTGTGTCGATTGTAGTATCGGAATGATAAAGTTTCTATTTTTGTTTTGTAAAGCTTTAAGAAAGATATGGTTTTGAATTAGTAGACTGACATTCAGTGCAGAAATTGGAAACACAGTGCGACAGATACCATAACACAAAGCAGATAGAAATCAACACACGGCATCACATAGCACAGGACAATACTGCAGAGCAGAACACGGAACAGAACATAGCACAACACTGCACAATAGATTGTTACAGAGCAGAACACATACCATATCTGTACAATACATTGCTGCAGAGTAGAACACAAAGTATAACATTGCACAACAAGAGCAGAACACAAAGTATAACATTGCACAACATGAGCAGAACACAAAGTATAACATAGCAGAACATGAGGAGAAAACAAAAAATACATTGCACAACATGAGCAGAACACAAAGTATAACATTGCACAACATGAGCAGAACACAAAGTATAACATAGCACAACATGAGCAGAACACAAAGCATAGCACATGAGCAGAACACAAAGTATAACAGCACAACATGAGCAGAACACAAAGTATAACATAGCACAACATGAGCAGAACACAAAGTATAACATAGCACAACATGAGCAGAACACAAAGTATAACATAGCACAACATGAGCAGAACACAAAGTATAACATAGCACAACATGAGCAGAACACAAAGTATAACATAGCACAACATGAGCAGAGAACAAAAGTATAACATTGCACAACATGACAGAACACAAAAGTATAACATTGCACAACATGGAGCAGAACACAAAGTATAACATAGCACAACATGAGCAGAACACAAAAGTATAACATAGCACAACATGAGCAGAACAGAACACAAAGTATAACATAGCACAACATGAGCAGAACACAAAGTATAACATAGCACAACATGAGCAGAACACAAAGTATAACATAGCACAACATGAGCAGAACACAAAGTATAACATAGCACAACATGAGCAGAACACAAAGTATAACATGCACAACATGAGCAGCACAACATGAGCAACAGAAGAACACAAAGTATAACATAGTATAACATGAGCAGAACACAAAGTATAACATAGCACAACATGAGCAGAACACAAAGTATAACATTGCACAACATAACATGAGCAGAACACAAAGTATAACATAGCATAACAACATGAGCAGAACACAAAGTATAACATAGCAGAACACACACAACATGACATGGAGCACAACATGAGCAGAACACAAAGTATAACATAGCACAACATGAGCAGAAACACAAGTATAACGGCACAACAAGAACACAGAACACAAAAGTATAACATAGCACAACATGAGCAGAACACAAAGTATAACATAGCACAACATAACATAGACAGAACACAAAGTATAACATTGCACAACATGAGCAGAACACAAAGTATAACATAGAACACAAAGTATACATGAGCAGAACACAAAGTATAACATAGCACAACATGAGCAGAACACAAAGAACACAAAGCATAACATAGCACAAACATGAGCAGAACACAAAGTATAACATTGCACAACATGAGCAGAACACAAAGTATAACATGCACAACATGAGCAGAAGAACAAAGCAGAACATAAAGTATAACATTGCACAATTGCACAACATGAGCAGAATACAAAGTATAACATTGCACAACATGAGCAGAACACAAAGTATACCATTACACACAATGCACAAAACATTGATGCAGAGCAGAAGACAAAGCATAACATAGCACAACATAATACATTACTACAGGGCAGAACACAAAACATAATATAGGACAACACAGCAAAATACAATGCAGTTCACAACATACTACAACATAGCATAAAACACCACAACATGACACAGCACTGCGAACTGCACTGTGAACAGCACAGCGAACAGCACAGCGACAAATAAGCACTACACAGAACACAGCAAATTTCATTTTCTGCAAATCATTATTTGCATAGCGTTATGCAAAGGTAAATTTAAACTTGCATTTATCTTTAACAGTAGCGAGTAGAGTAGAAATTAAATTCCCATTTAAACAAGTGAAGAAATATTTCAAATTGTAATTAACTTTGCTTCCAAGGTGTGGCAGCAGTATCGACTGGTGTGGCAGGAATTCTATTGTGCCTCATAACAGAAATCAATACATTCAACAAAACAGCCCAGATGTTCTACATTGACGTATTTGTTATCTGTGTTGTTCAAACACATGTTGAATTAAGTGTTTCCTCCATCATCAGTACCACATACAGAGCAGGGTCTCATTCTGTATTTCTACATATAGGTGTTCCGGCATACCACATGCAGTAGTATGTCACACGGGTGCTTCCGGCATACCACATGCAGTAGTATGTCACACGGGTGCTTTCTGCATACCAGGTGCAGTAGCATGTCACACGGGTGCTTCCTGCATACACGTGTAGTAGTATGTCACATGGGTGCTTCCTGCATACCACATGCAGTAGTATGTCAGACGAGTGCTTCCTGCATACCAGGTGCAGTAGTAGGTCACACGGGTGCTTCCTGCATACCACGTGTAGTAGTAGGCCACACGGGTGCTTCCTGCATACCAGGTGCAGTAGTATGTCACACGGGTGCTTCCGGCATACCAAATGCAGTAGTATGTCACATGGGTGCTTCCTGCATACCATATGCAGTAGTATGTCACACGGGTGCTTCCTGCATACCAGGTGCAGTAGTATGTCACACGGGTGCTTCCTGCATACCACATGCAGTAGTATGTCACACGGGTGTTTCCTGCATACCACATGCAGTAGTATGTCACACGGGTGCTTCCTGCATACCACATGCAGTAGTATGTCACACGGGTGCTTCCTGCATACCACGTGCAGTAGTATGTCACACGGGTGCTTCCTGCATACCACATGCAGTAGTATGTCACACGGGTGCTTGCTTCCTGCATACCACATGCATGCAGTAGTATGTCACACGGGTGCTTCCTGCATACCACATGCAGTAGTATGTCACACGGGTGCTTCCTGCATACCACATGCAGTAGTATGTCACACGGGTGCTTCCTGCATACCACATGCAGTAGTATGTCACACGGGTGCTTCCTGCATACCAGGTGCAGTGCAGTAGTCACACGGGTGTCACACATGGGTATGCGGGTTCCTGCATACCACATGCAGTAGTATGTCACACGGGTGCTTCCTGCATACCACATGCTGTAGTTATGTCACACGGGTGCTTCCGGGTGTTTCCTGCATACCACATGCAGTATCACACGGGTGCTTCCTGCATACCACATGCAGTAGTATGTCACACGGGTGCTTCCTGCATACCACATGCAGTAGTATGTCACACGGGTGCTTCCTGCATACCACATGCAGTAGTATGTCACACGGGTGTTTCCTGCATGCCACATGCAATAGTATGTCACACGGGTGCTTCCTGCATACCACATGTAGAAGTATGTCACACGGGTGCTTCCTGCATATCACGTGCAGTAGTATGTCACACGGGTGCTTCCTGCATACCACATGCAATAGTATGTCACACGGGTGCTTCTTGCATGCCACGTGCAGTATTATCTTAAGCTGTGATATTGTCGGAATATTTCTATCACACTCATACAATAATGTACATCAAGGGTCGTAGAAGGCCATATACAATCTCTTAAAGGAAGCAAATTTACCAAACGTCTTTCCATTAGGAAGCACCTTTAGATATGTTTCGTCCCTAATGTGTGTCGAGCTTAGGTGTGATTAATAGTTCTCTCATATGGCGAGGAAAGCAATGCTACGGTTGGGCTTATAAATGTTTGCAGTCGCCAGAAGTCGCATCATAAATTATCTCTATACCCTGCCTCAGATCAACAAAGAAGCCAAATTGACAAATGTCCCAAGACATCTTAAAATTCAATACATGTATAAATCAATTTTTGGCTTGTAAACAAGTGCTTTTACAATGTATGCTGCAAATATTATCCATTACTTATTCACTGGGTAGTCGTAGAAGGAGTTGTCCATGCATTTTCAGCTATATTCTAACAATATCACGGCGCTTGACATCTTCTCACATAGAGCGCGGTCTCTTGGGCTCCTGACATATATAATGCCATACTTTCCGTAACCTTCACCATGCCACACATTCACTGTCTAACCTTCTGTGTTACAGTGTGTAACCTTCTATGTTACACACTTTCACAACCACCTTCACTATGGTATACCTTCATTGTCACCTTCACCATGCCAAATTTTCACTGCACATTTCACCATGCCACAACGTCACCGTTCCCTTCTCCCGGTTGATTTTTCATCGTCATCTTCGCAACATTCTCCGTTACCTGCACCATGACACACATTCACTGTAACAATCTACATGAAACACTTTCACCATTACCTTCTCCATGACACACTTTCACCATATTCTTCACCATGAAACTCTTTCACTGGTACCTTTTCCATGACAAACTTTCACCATTTCCTTCTCCATGACACACTTTCACCGTTACCTTTACTATACTACACTTTCTCCGTTACCTTCACCATGACACGCTTTCACTATTACCTTCACCATGACACACTGTCACTGTTACCTACTCCATGACAAACCTTCACCATTTCCTTCACCATGACACACTTTCACTGTTACATTCACCATAAGACACTTCCACCGTTACCTTTATCATGCCACACTTTCACCGTTACCTTCACCATACCATACTTTCACAGTTACCTTCACCATGCCATAGTTTCACCGTTGCCTTCACCATACCATACTTTCACCGTTACCTTCACCATACCATACTTTCACAGTTACCTTCACCTTGCCATCCTTTCACTGTTCACTTAACCATGAAACACTTTCACCGTTACCTTCACCATGCCACACATTCACTGTCTAACCTTCTGTGTTACAGTGTGTAACCTTCTATGTTACACACTTTCACAACCACCTTCACTATGGTATACCTTCATTGTCACCTTCACCATGCCAAATTTTCACTGCACATTTCACCATGCCACAACGTCACCGTTCCCTTCTCCCGGTTGATTTTTCATCGTCATCTTCGCTCTGCAACATTCTCCGTTACCTGCACCGTGACACACATTCACTGTAACAATCTACATGAAACACTTTCACCATTACCTTCTCCATGACACACTTTCACCATATTCTTCACCATGAAACTCTTTCACTGGTACCTTTTCCATGACAAACTTTCACCATTTCCTTCTCCATGACACACTTTCACCGTTACCTTTACTATACTACACTTTCTCCGTTACCTTCACCATGACACGCTTTCACTATTACCTTCACCATGACACACTGTCACTGTTACCTACTCCATGACAAACCTTCACCATTTCCTTCACCATGACACACTTTCACTGTTACATTCACCATAAGACACTTCCACCGTTACCTTTATCATGCCACACTTTCACCGTTACCTTCACCATACCATACTTTCACAGTTACCTTCACCATACCATGCCATAGTTTCACCGTTGCCTTCACCATACCATACTTTCACCGTTACCTTCACCATACCATATTTTCACAGTTACCTTCACCTTGCCATCCTTTCACTGTTCACTTAACCATGAAACACTTTCACCGTTACCTTCACCATGCCATACTTTCACAGTTACCTTCACCATGCATACTTTCAGTTACCTTCATCATACCATACTTTCACAGTTACCTTCACCTTGCCATACTTTCACTGTTCACTTAACCATGAAACACTTTCACCGTTACCTTCACCATGCCATCCTTTCACCGTTACCTTCTCCATAAGACACTTCCACCGTTACCTTTAATGCCACACTTTCACCGTTACCTTAACCAAGCCATACTTTCACAATTACCTTCTCCATACCATACTTCAGTTTCACCACCACAGTGGAGCCCGTTAACATTCACCTCCACAGCGTTACCCTTGAACTGTTACAGGACTACACGCTGGTGTGTGGGGAGTGTCAGAAAGCAATAGTTGTCAACGAGATCGTTGCCAGTTCGGACTACCCTGCCGACAGCGCATACTATGAGCAGTTTATGGATTCCAACAGAGCATCCATGAAGGTATGACATCATATGTGTGTTCATGAATTGGAATGACTCATTAGTTTCTTTGTAAAGATGTATTATCTTCAGTGTAATACTGCAATGATTAATGAGGTTCTTTGAAATGATATATTAGATTTTCAAGATTCAAGATTTCTTATTCAGTACCCAAGGCCTCCAGCCCAGAGTACATGTGTACATCAAGTCAAGTATAACAAATTCATATACATATATCATCAACATTTCTGTGGATTTTCAATTTCCCATATAAAAAGATATATTAGTTACAGTGTAATATTGCAGTGATTCAGAGGTTACTTTGAAATGACATACTGTGAACAGTATAATATTGCATTGATTCGTGAGTTTTTGTAATTCTCGATTAGACACTTTGGAATATTACAAGTGATAGTTTTTAATGTTGAAATGCCTTTAGTGAGTTACATTCAGATATTGCAGACGGTGCTTGCAACATTGCAGTAGGTCATGAGTGGCTTTTTCATATTTGAATGGCTTTTTGCTGATTGACTTGTAGCCTATGTTAGGAGTGATCTTTTTAATATTGGGGTGATTTATGACGTTCCTGATACGTTACATTGCGATATTACAACTATTCATTCAGCAGATTCATTATTGATTATTCAGTTGTAGTGTAATGAGTACCGGGTAATTTGTTATAGTATAATATTTGTTCAACAGTGGTATTGCAACGGTGCAGTTTGTACTTGCTCTAACACAATACTGATTAGGTAAACTGTATCATTGCAGCGATTCCTGTTTTACTTGTTATAGTACATTATAGCATTAGTTGAAATGAGATATTACAACGGCTCTTGAAATATTTTTTTAATTGATCCAGTTCTTACACAAAATTCTATGCTATGTGGAACACATGCTTGACATTCACATATTCTAAATGTCAACATTTGCCAAAATAGATACATCATGACAGCTGAGTCTGTATTCCAGGGAAGAGGAGGACCCCAATTAAACCTTATGGACCAGATGGTCAGGCTGGTTGACATGGTTGGGTTTGTGTCAGATAGTACATGACTGAGTGGATCATTGCTCGTATTGTATTACTTAGTTTCTCACAGGTGTCCGGTATAGGGCGACAGCTTGCTGGCATGCTAGCCAAATGCTAGCTGATTGTGAATCGGGCCAGTAATATATTTTAAAGCTATCCTGACTGGCTAGCTGAAAATCTCAGATCATTTGTTATTTACTTATTTATTGCACATGAACAATATTAAGTCAGTTATTAGGGTGTTAAAAGTAAGTCCGCAAAGGTTCCATGATGTTTATTATCTCACACGAAGATCGCTATATAAAAATGTTAATAAAAGAGCAAAAGAGGTAAGGAAATATTACAACACAAATGTAACGTTTAACCTGATAGCATTTTGACATTGATATTTCGCAGGGCCAGTGAAGTATGATGTGGGCTAGCAACATTTTACTGAACTAGCCCTCCTGGCTAGTGACTTGTCAAAATGAATACATACACTGTATGGCGGATACTGTTGTATTGTAGGGTTGTAGCGCACAGCAAACTCCCATGGTAACACAGTAATGTGGTTGTTTATTCAGGTAGACGAAGCCCTCGTGTATGACATTGGAATGATCACGAAGAAGGCTGTGTCCATGTTCCGCGATCTCCGGCCCATCACCTACTCCGACTGCTACAACGTTTCCGAGCCGAATGTCACGGACTTAGCACAGAGCCAGAACCTCACTCAAGCTCTTAAAGAGGTATTGACGTCTAAGTATTCAAACCAGACGTTCGTAACTCAATAATTCAGCATTCATTCGCAGACACTGGTATATTCATTGATTGGTCGATTGGTTCAAATGGTAGATCAGTCAGGAATTTTAATTCGGAGTGGAAAATGTAAAGTCCCCAGGGAGCTGACAATAAAAACATTCACTTCACTTTTACAAAACATGCTTGAGCCTCATGCATAATTACCGTAACTAATCTCGAGAGAAAAGAGGCAGCTGACTGACTTGGTTTTTGGGACAATAGTTTATACAAAAAAAGAACACTGTGCATGAAGAATTTGGTCATTGAATGGTTGTAACACATTCCTTTGTGCGCTATAATCGGACACGGCTGCCACAGAGCCACAGTCTTTCCTGAGTTGCGTCTCTACAACCGTGGGTTCGAATCCCGCTTCGGCGTGGTTTCGCCGTTCGTCAGCACCATGCATATTCCTGAAAAAAAAGTAGTTTACCCGCTGGTTTTACCAAAGTAAAAAGCCTCATCACTTGATCTAATGACCCTACTGGAATACGGTACAAAGCGACATCAGCACCAACTCCCTCACTCATCTAGAGATATACAGTACATGCAAGGGGAGGACAGTGATACACCTGCCAAATATATGTTATTTCCTGGAGGCCTTTGCAGGTACAATATGCCCTTGTATTCTTTAAATTGTAGATTTTCCACTTGTTAATTTAGACACATTTGCCGGTAACATATGTTATATTTGGGATTACACTTTCTTGGTAAGGTACAGATTTTGGTATTTTTTGGGTTGAGTCCCATCCGGGATTCGAACCCCCACCCTCAGAGTCAGGCAGCTAATCGCCAGCACACAGCACTTTTACCGGGTTTTATTATATCACAATGTTGTTTCATCTAGATATCATGGAATGGAGTGTATGGGGCACTATCCCTTCAACAAGGCATTCTTCGCTACAACTTCTCTTTGAAAATCAACAGAATTGAATTTGATGGAGGGGACGACAATAACAAGAACATGGTCAGTATAACACAGCAGAACAGGTTCAGCATAACACAGCAGAACATGGTCAGTATAACACAGCAGAACAGGTTCAGCATAACACAGCAGAGCATGATCAGTATAACACAGCAGAACATGGTCAGTATAACACACCAGAACAGGTTCAGTATAACACAGCAGAACATGGTCAGTATAACATAGCAGAACATGGTCAGTATAACACAGCAGAACAGGTTCAGCATAACACAGCAGAACAGGTTCAGTATAGCACAGCAGAACATGGTCAGTATAACACAGCAGAACATGGTCGGTATAACACAGCAAAACATGGTCTGTATAACATAGCAGAACATGGTCAGTATAACACAGCAGAACATGGTCGGTATAACACAGCAGAACATGGTCAGTATAACACAGCAAAACATGGTCAGTATAACATAGCAGAACATGGTCAGTATAGCACAGCAGAACATAGTCAGTATAACACAGCAGAACATGGTCAGCATAACACAGCAGAACATGGTCAGTATAACCCAGCAGAACATGGTCGGTATAACATAGCAGAACATGGTCAGTATAACAGCAGAATATGATGAGTATACCATAGCAGAACACAGTCGGTATAACACAGCAGAACATGGTCAGTATAACACAGCAGAACATGGTCAGTATAACACAGCAGAACATGGTCAGTATAACCCAGCAGAACATCGTCGGTAGAACACTACAGAACATGGTCGGTATAACACAGCAGAACATGATCAGTATAACAGAGCAGAACATGGTAACACAGCAGAACATGGTCAGTATAACACAGCAGAACATGATCAGTATAACACAGCAGAACATGGTCTGTATAACACAGCAGAACATGGTCTGTAGAACACGACAGAACATGGTCTGTATAACACAGCAGAACATGGTCTGTAGAACACAGCAGAACATGGTATGTAGAACACGTCAGAACATGGTCTGTAGAACACGTCAGAACATGGTCTGTAGAACACGTCAGAACATGGTCTGTAGAACACGTCAGAACATGGTCTGTAGAACACGTCAGAACATGGTCTGTAGAACACAGCAGAACATGGTCTGTAGAACACGTCAGAACATGGTCTGTAGAACACGTCAGAACATGGTCTGTAGAACACGTCAGAACATGGTCTGTATAACACAGCAGAACATGGTCTGTAGAACACGTCAGAACATGGTATGTAGAACACGTCAGAACATGGTCTGTATAACACAGCAGAACATGGTCTGTAGAACACGTCAGAACATGGTCTGTAGAACACGTCAGAACATGGCCTGTATAACAAAGCAGAACATGGTCTGTATAACACGACAGAACATCGTCGGTAGAACACAGCAGAACATGGTCGGTAGAACACAACATAACATAACCAGAATAACACATTTTAACATGGTCAGTATAACACTGTACAATCATAGTCATATCAGTTAATACGACAAGATGACGATGAACTTATATCTACATGAGTAAAATTATGGTCAGTAGAACCGGACATTTAGGACATATGTTTGGAGACAAGGAAGTAATGATTGAAATGGACAAAAAACATAAACGTATATACATTTTCATAAAAGAAAACATTCTGTGTTTGGACAGCAAACTGTGCTGTATTTGCATGCCGGTAAACCGTTTGATAGATCCATCTGATTCTCCATGACAGAGGTAGTCGGTAATAACTAACACCATTTGGCGTTTGGTGGGCAACATCAGCTGGTGGTGTCCATACATGGTGACCTGTCCACCTTGTACTCTTCAGGTCGGCAACTGGACGGAGCAGACTGGCCTGTCCCTCAGTGTGGCGTCCCTGACCACGTCAAGCACCAAGAGACACTACAGGGTCGTCACTGTCCCAGGCGTAAGTTACCATGACGATGTGTGAGTGAGTGAGTGAAATTCAACGACACTTTAAACAATATTTCAGCATTATCAAGGCGTGTATGTAGGGTTTGGGGGACGTTTTAGAAGCATTGGCAAGACAGGAAAACCAAATCTTAGCCTCTCATTAGAATGTTCTTTCTTAGTCTTTTATGCACAAGAGCAGGCACATGTATAGTCCTTTGGCTGAACACCAATACTTAGAGCTGAACATGATATTCTAGAGCATACTGATCCACCTGGGTCTAGGTGAGTGAATGGGATATAATTTGGTTGGTTGGTTGACGTCAGCAATATTCCAGCTATATGGCGGCAGTCTGTAAATAATCGAGTCTGGACCAGACAATCCAGTGATCAGCATCGTGAGCATCGTTCTACGCAATTGGGATACAATGACCTGTGTCAACCAAGTCAGCGAGTCTGACCACCCGATCCCGTTAGTCGCCTGTTTCGACAAGCATGGGTTGCTGAAGACCAATTCTATCCCGGATCGTCACGGGTAGAGTTGAATGTTGCATTTTGTCAGCCATACAGCGACAAAACCATATATATGCAAGTGAATTACAAATACAACGTTATGTTTGACCACAAACGGGGATCGAGTTGGGTATAACAAACTGCTTTTCTTCAACAGACTTCAGACAGTAAGCAGTTTAAAATCACAATTCAAATTATAGCAATGGGACTTATTATTATTGAAATGGATCAACAAAGATGTGTTTCTTTTTTACGCACGAAGTTTTTATGGCATGTTACAGATGCATCCGTTTGTGTATAAGGAAGGAGGCGAGAACGGCACAGAGCCTAAATACTCCGGTTACTGCATTGAGCTGTTGGACAAGATTGCTGACCGGATGAGCTTCACCTATGAGATATACGACAGCCCTGACGGCTTGGTCGGCTCCATGGCGTCTGATGGAAGCTGGAGTGGCCTCATCAATGAACTCATTCAGAAGGTGACAAATGGAAACGATGCATTAATGTTTCCGTTTCATAAACACACTTATGAAATTTCATAATTGCTTTAGGAGTTTTAGAGAACTGTATTATATGTTCACATTGTTTCACTTGCTTTTATTCAAAATACCATGTCAATCAAGGTATTATATGGTAGAAATTAAGAGAATTTCACTGAGTACGACACGTTTGTCAACGTTAGGCAACACAGGACCGAACTATGACCATTATTTGGAGTCTTCAGGCCTATGTGGCAATGGTACTGTCCAATAAAAACTGTGTATGCATAATGAATAGCTGGATATGCACATAAGGCGTGCACACTGATTTTCTGTAATGCATTCACAAAAGTTCTATTCTTCATCGGCGGAATCGCTCGTTTTCAATCAATAAGTATTTCCACACAGCTTTAATGATTATTTTCTTATCGCGATATATCGTGATTCTATTTCAAGTGGCGAGGATTCTTGTCTCTGTGACGCAATCGATTGCTCTGTTAACTCAAGTCACGTAGGGGCGGTGATTATCATCCGAGGATGCCTTTCACAAAGCACTAAGGTGATCGTAAGTCACTAAGGTAACCTTAGTGCTATGTTAAAGAATGGGAGTTAAAGGTTAACCTTAGTAAAGATTGCTTCGTGAAAGGAGCCCCAGGTTAAAGCTTTCGCTCGTCTAAGGCTCAGGTTTGATTCCCTACTTGGGTACAATTTGTGAAGCCTATTTCTGATGTCTCCAGCAGTGGGATTGCAGGAATATTGCTAAAAGCGGCGTAAAACCCAACTCACTCACTCCTCAAGTGAGGCAATGCGGCATGGGGTTGAATGTCGCCTTCTTAGTAATTGAAGTTATATAGTAAAGCATAAAAGCTGGTGTCTTCACGTGGTTTTCCCAGACATGTTATGCTGATTTCAAGTAGACAGGTCATGTTCATATCATCGTTAGGAACGGTAACAACATGTTCAGCCTCTTCAATGTCATTTTGTGCGAGGTCTAAGAACCCACCTTTCACTCTCCTGGTAGAGGTTACTTGGCCACGGAGTATGTCGTTAAGGAAGAGAGATTGTACGGGGTTTTAAAAATGTTTGAACCACGAAGGATGCACACAGGTGATATTTTAAACAATCAACGTGTACGAAGGGCGTTTAGTACTTCGTGCGTTGACAGACTGCATTTCAAGCAAATACAATCCATCAAGGCTTGGTATTCCGTTTAATGAAAATATACCCAGCTGTCATCGAGTGTACCCAGCTGAATGGACTAACTCAAAACCCTTTTTTGTCTGGACACGGTGTCAACTTTAGGGAACGGTGCTCCTTCTTGTACCACTGTTGCGATGGAGGCAAGATCGGGAAAGAGAGCATGGATGGCGATCCAAGATCAGAAAATGCCACCTGTCCCCATCAACGTTATTACAATGCACGAAATGATTCTGGATGATCGATGACACACCACACCGTCATATCGCTATACCCAGGACAGTAGGCACGAGTGTGTTTGATATCCTGTTCGTTGAACTGGGCATGGGTTCTGTTCCTACACGCAGGAGTCTGAATCCAGAACCGAAAAAGCCTAAATTTTAGAGCAGGAACAGATATTTGGCTGAACGATTTCTAACCTTGATTGTGTCTTGGTTTCGCCACTGTCAGCCGGAGTCAATAATAGTCAAAGCAGTGGTGACACTGACATCGCCTTTTCCGAAGCAGGCAAAATCTCTTCTGTCAAGTGGCTACGGGTTTTTTTTGGAAACCCTAGTGGCGGGCTATCTTCAAAACCCAAATGTTATTATATATACCTGAGTTTGGAGGAACAAGTTAAGCAGATCATCATCTTCTCTATTGCAATGAAGAAGTTGTCAAACCATAAAACTTGTTCCTCTTCACCATGCCAGCTTCTAAGTGCTACTTGAAGAAGTTTCCTGATTTTATCAACTATATGGGGATATCAGAAAGAATGCTGCTTAATATATGAATATAGTTAACATAATTCTTGTTACTATAGTAACACAGTCTAGTAATCAAGTGGTTGTGTTTATTTCTTCAGAGAGCTGAAATAGCAGTCGGTCCAATCTCAGTGATGGCAGAGCGGGAGAATGTGGTGGATTTCACTGTTCCCTACTATGATCTGGTAGGCTTGACTATCCTGATGAAGAAGCCGAGCTTTGACTATTCCCTGGTCAAGTTCCTCAGCGTCCTGGACGAGGATGTGTGGGGATGCATCATTGGCGCTTTCTTCCTCTTCAGCATCCTCATCTGCGTCTTTGACAAACTCAGCCCCTTCAGCTACCAAAACAGCAAGCAAGAATGGAATGGGGATGGCCCCGAACCTAGAGTGTTCTCGTTGAAGGAAGGCATCTGGTTCTGCATGATGTCACTGACGCCGCAGGGTAAGCGATGCTTTTGTCACATATTCTCTATTCCCAGATAGGTGACGTGTGGTTCCGTTGTGTCACGGAGTCATCCAGTAAGGTATTCAAATCTGATTCATGGAGCCATTATTTTACTAGTGATTTTGAGTTTGGCGCTTTTACAGAAAGACATCTAAAACTTGCCGTTACAAAATAAGAGATTGTGAATGATGGCAAAATTCAAGTTGATTCGTGGGGTCTTCACTTTTACCCCGACTATGAACCTTAACTTAACTAATTGAACTTTAATGTTATCAGTATGATATAGCCATACATTTTACCTTCATAATCTTTGCTGGACACTGGAAGAACGCTGCCTTTTAAAATGTGGTTAATTGTAACCCGTTATACTTGGGACTTCTCAGTACAGTAAAGATTTAGTGACTTCAGTGGAAGCCGCCGCGGCTGTGTGGGTTAAATCGCAGACTTTGTGTGCAGGCGATTAGGTGTCCTACTCTGAAAGTGTGGATTCAAAAGCGACACAAGTCCCCACAGTACTAGAAGCTGTTCTTCACTGAGAAAATGTAATCCCTCACATTTTTACACAGTCTTTCTTATTTGCATTCAGCAGTCCTTTCATAGGGATTATTTTGGATAAGTATTGTGGGTTGTTTCAAACGGTAAGTGTACGTCTGCATGGTTAACATAAAAAAATATGCGAAATTAATTTAGAAACTATTATCATATCAAACTATAAACATATTATCACATTCAAATTTCAATTTCAAAATTCAACGCAACTATAAACCTGAGATATTATACGGTTGTCATATCTTCCTTAAGCGATTTTATGCATTAAGTGGATAGCTCCGCAAACAGTAGCTCTAATATAAATTATTTAAAATAAAGTTTTAAACACGGCTGTTCTTCAGGGGGAGGAGAGACGCCACGTGCGTTGTCAGGGCGACTGATTGCTGCCACCTGGTGGCTGTTTGGTTTCATCATCATCGCCACATACACCGCCAATCTGGCTGCCTTCCTGACAGTGTCCCGTCTGGAGACACCGATTGAGTCCCTCGATGACCTCTCGAAGCAATTCAAGGTCAAGTATGCACCTATGAATGGCAGCAACGCCCAAATCTACTTCCAGCGAATGGCGGATATTGAAAACAAGTTCTACGGGTAAGACAGCATGCTATGATTTTCTACAAATATATTATTTGCATGTAGTTGTTAATGTTAATAATACATATTAAAATCAAACCTTCCTGGTGAATTCACAGTGAATAAACCTTTCGGTAAACAGCGTTAACTGTATGGATTGTCAAAGATGCAAGGGCTTCTGAAGTAATAACACGAGCGTTCTGTTGAAGGTAAAACTCTCTGGTTATGGGACATTGAATTATTCGTGTGCCAAGGAAGTAAGCATCGATAATGTAATTGTGGTAATTTACTGTTGGTGAACTATCGATGTTCGTAGTTGTTGTTGATGGACCTATATGACAACATCAGTTTACATTCTCCTGAGTGAGTGAGTGAGTGAGTATAGTTTTACGCCGCTTTTAGCAATATTCCAGCAATATCACGGCGGGGAACACCAGAAATGGGCTTCACACATTGTGCCCATGTGGGGATTCGAACCCGGGTCTTCGGCGTGACGAGCGAACGCGTTAACTACTAGGCTAATCCACACACACACACACCCAAACCCCCACCCTCCACCCCCACCCCACCACACCCCCACATTCTCCTGAAGGTGTAAGTATTGTTAGTGTACTGACCTAAAGAGTCATAAAGATTCTGGTGTCCCCCGCCGTGACATTGCTGGAACATTGCTAAAAGCAGCGTAAAATTGAACTCACTATCTCACTATAGACTCAGTAAAATATATGCAATGAGCTGCAGATGTATTGCATGTGTAGATTCCTCTTTGGTACATTCCTCTTTTCATTCATCTTTAGTCAGTATCGCTAGTGTATATATTTATGTCATAACGGTACACAATTTGATGAAGATGTAAGTTATACTTGTGGTAGCTCTGTGGTAGTGCCGAAACATTCTGATGCGGGTGTAAGATATAAAAGTTCCAACTAACGGTACACATTCTGCTGTCAGTATATGGAAAGACATGTCTCTCGACGACAACCTGGACGTGGTGTCACGGGCCAAGCTGGCAGTGTGGGACTACCCCGTGAGCGACAAGTACACCAAACTCTGGGAAACCATGAAGACGTCTCTGTTCCCTAGCAACAAGCATGAGGCCGTCAAAAGAGTCCTTACTGGAGAATTTGCTTTCATTGGTAAGTCATCTTGTCTTGCTTCTTTTCATAGGTTGTTTTAAATATATAATATAAAATGCTACTTGCTTTCTTAGGTTTGTCAATTTAGGTGGTTTGTTTCGTTGATTTTGTTTTATATACTTCCCCTGTTATTATACTGCTGAAATATTGCAAACAGTGATTTTAAGAATGGGGTTTATATCAACATTAGCCAGTCCAATAAGGCAATGACTGATTGTGGTGACACTAGTAGTAACGTGTATTACTTACACAAACAAAATGTAAGGATTATCATGATATCTTCTGTGCAAAATAAGCCAATCAATACCACTTGCAGAAAGCAAAAAATACTTTTTTCTAAAACAGATGGCGTGGTGGACTTTTCGTTAAAATCATTGTTTCGTCAAATCGAGGACTCAATTTTTCTATTCCAAAACGTGTTATGTAGTACTACCGTCTCCTGATTCCACGTGAAGTCTAACTCAACACAGTTTTATATACGTCTGGTAGTAGAATTGTCTGTGGCAAGTGACCATGGTTGTTGTGTTGCTTTCAGCGGACGCCACCGTCAACAAGTACTCCACCCTGACGGACTGCGACCTGTGGGAGGTGGGGGAGGAGTTCTCAAGGAAGCCCTATGCCCTGGCGGTGCAGGAGGGGTCGCCTCTGCGGAGTCAGCTGTCTAACATGTACGATTTATTACAATAACCCTTTATTTCCATGAACTGTGGGGTTCAGTACTACATCAACCTCAGCTTGTCCTTGATGACTCTGTTGATGGCATGTTATTGCATCTCAGCTGCTTATAGCGATGCCCATGATGCCAGTCACTGGGGGTGTCTGTTCAGAGACTGTATTATTTAGAGATCGTCAAGAGGCTACAGTATTGCTGATTGTTGAGTTTAAATGAGTTCAGTATCGGAGTACCTCGCTATGATATACCTGAACCCCCGATTAATCTCTCCATGTATATGTTTTACATTTTCGTGTGTAATTTTCTTAATGAAAGACGTACCTCAGTCCCTATCCGTGAAGATTCGGATTAGAAATGATCCTCAGCAACCCATTCTTGTCTTAAGAGGCGACGGTGGTCAGGCTTGCTGACTTGGTTGACACATGTCTTCGTATATCGATGCTCTTGATGTTGATCACTGGATTGTCTGGTCCCGACTGAGTTATTTACAGACCGCCGCCATATAACTGGAATATTGTTGGGTGCGACGTTAAACAACAAACAATGCAAACACAATAAAAGACGAACCTCCGTTCCTTCTCTTCACAGTATCCTGCAGCTGATCAACCAGAGAGAACTGGAAGAAATGAAGACCAAATGGTGGAGGAAAGATCAAAAAGAGTGCCCAAAGATCGAAAACGAGAGCGACGGCATCAGCATCAAAAACATCGGCGGAGTCTTCCTCGTAATCGTCATCGGCTCCGGCCTGGCTCTCATCACTCTGGCCCTGGAGTGCTACTGGTACAAGTACAAGCCGAAACAGAAGAAGAAGCTGTACAACATCAACTCTCAGACCAACCTGACCAAGAACACTGTGTCGTCGGTAACGCTGCCTAATGGCATAGAAAATGGAGGCTTCGAAACTACTTTTGAGAGCATGTTTGATAAGGAGAAGAAGGAAGAAGAAAACAGGGTTAATGGAACTATCGACAAGGGGAAGAACGAGAAGGAGGACGGATACATCAGTGGAGGGTTCCTGGAAATGGTGGAACGTCTTTGAGACTGAAAGTCTCCTGTTTGTTGATGCCAAAAGTCGCCGAGGGAGATTTCCCCAAACAGTTCAATGCTAGCATACAAGTAGCACCAGTGTTTTACTAATCATTACGCACTAGGAAGTCGTTACCAGTAATAACATCCGTGTGGTTTAGTGTAATTAGAGATTTACTATTGATGTTATCATACATGTTTGTAACAAGTGTTTATACCTGGGATCATATTTCTAACATCATATAATTATTGTTTTTATGTGATGATGTGTCACGTTTGCAAAAGCCTTGACCTTCATCTGACCCAACGTCAGTCATTGAAACCGAAACCTTCATTATTTTGTGACTATACTCGACTAATATGTTGGAGATCATAAACGTTTTAACCTGTGTGTACAGCCTATCAACACATCAACAGAAACATATGAGCCTTCAACTTTTGTGTTCAGTGTAGAATCTCATGTCCTCACGGTAATAAGCCATTGTTCTTTGTTAGGCATCTTTATTGATCCAGTTCCGTCCAGTGTGTGACCAGTGTTTTACAGTGTTTTTATATATGTTATGGAGTAATTTGTGGTTGTACAGACCATCACAGTAACGTTAAAAGCAAGCATCACCGAAGTGTCTTTCATGGCGTTTTCTTAGACAAGTTTTGCAAATATGCCTTGCTCATCTTGTTTTACCGTTCATATAACTGTAGATCCTGTTCAATAACACCGTATATATCTTTGCCTATTAATTGTTTTGGTCTTGCTTATATGAAGGCTATGGTATATATTTGACGCATATCATGTATGCTTTTGTACTCTCGTCGATATGGTTTATTCAGGACGTTTGGGTAGTCTAGTGTTTAAACATTCGCCACAAAGACGAAGACCCGGGTTTGATTCTGCACATGGGTGCAGTATGATTCCATTCTGTCAAAGATATGACAATGGAACCCATGACGTTTGTTGAACAAACAGTTACAATTTATCACCAGACATGTCAGTGCCTTAGGTATTTATACTAATAACTATGCCACAAAAACATCCGTCACATGTTCGACCTGACAATCTGTTAATATACTGTACCCCCAACACCACAATCCCCAACCCATTACCCTTCCTTTAGGCGCAGCTGTCGTATAAGGAGGTCAAGGTCAAAGCAATATCAATTGACCCGAGTACGGCGACTTTCTTTAATCATTGTCACAAATCATGGGCAATACCGTTCAGTTCTATGTATTAGGATTGACACCTGGTGTCTGTGACGTTATGACGCTACGTTAATAAGATTACGATAAGTAAATGTTTTATATAACATCCCGAAAAATGTACTGTTCTTATACACATGTGATTACATTTATATTTCATTTTTCGCGCTGATAAATCAAGCAACGAGCTAACATTTGCAAATATTATTTTATAGCTGTTGCTTAACGAGGAAGAGTTTTATCACTACAGAAGCTGATTTCCAAAAAGTTCCAAGGGAGCGTCCCTTTGGACTGAAATAGATCCTTTCCGGGCGGATCTCTTTGGGTTCAACTTGAACCATAAAACCATCTGCATACTATTAGCCCAGGACGGATTCAGATCAGTGCGTCTGTATATAGATTAACAATATCTCGCACCCAGATTTTGTTAATCCAAAGTTTAATTACATGTGCATCTTCACACCAAATAGCACCGTACGGATTAACGAGTGTCATTGTTCCCAACACCTGATACATTTTAAGCTACGTGCTCACTTTGCGTCGTTGATGAAGTATTTCCTCTACATGGTTTCGTGATGTATTCACAGTAAGCGCAGGAAATTCCATGTCTTTGTGTATTTCACATTTATCATGTATTATGTTGTTTCAACAAAATTATTCTATTTTTTAAGTCACAAAAACTCCATCCCATATCTCAAGATAGAACTTATAAGACATATTATAGGTAACAACATATTTATTCCATTATGATGCGACACTAAGCTGCCAATCAAAAAATTCATTATTACTGATGCAGTAAAGTGCAGTCATGTCTATGATGCATCAACGTACAGTCATTTTAATGATGCATCAACGTAAACATTTAAATGATGCATCAACGTACAGTCAATTCAATGATCCATCAGCGTAGTCATTTCAATGGTGCATTAACGTATAGCTATGTCTATGATGCATCAACGTACAGTCATGTCTATGATACATCAACGTACAGTCATGTCTATGACGCATCAACGTACAGTCTTTTCTATGATGCATCAACGTACAGTCATTTCTATGATGCATCAACGTACAGTCATGTCTATGATGCATCAACGTACAATCTTTTCTATTATGAATGAACGTACCTGTAAGTCATTTTAATGATGCATCAACGTTATCATTTCAGTGATGCATCAACATATAGTCATGTCTATGATGCATCAACGTAGTCATGTCTATGATGCATCAACGTAGTCATTTCTATTAGGCATCAACGTAAGTCATTTCAATGATGCATCAACGTAGTCATGTCTATGATGCATCAACGTACAGTCATTTCTATGATGCATCAACGTACAGTCATGTCTATGATGCATCAACGTACAATCTTTTCTATTATGAATGAACGTACCTGTAAGTCATTTTAATGATGCATCAACGTAACGTACAGTCATTTCAATCATGCATCAACGTTATCATTTCAGTGATGCATCAACATATAGTCATGTCTATGATGCATCAACGTAGTCATGTCTATGATGCATCAACGTACAGTGTCTTCTATGATGCATCAACGTACAGTCATTTCTATTAGGCATCAACGTAAGTCATTTCAATGATGCATCAACGTAGTCATGTCTATGATGCATCAACGTACAGTCTTTTCTATGATGCATCAACGTAAGTCATTTAAATGATGCATCAACGTAAGTCATTTTAATGATGCATCAACGTAGTCATGTCTATGATGCATTAACGTACAGTATTTTCTATGATGCATCAACGTAAGTCATTTTAATGATGCATCAACGTACCGTCGTTTCTGTTATGCATCAGACCCAGTCTACGTGTCAGGTGTTTTCAACCATATGCGTTTGCTGTTGTCTCTGGCACACGTGGGTTTTCTCAGTCAGGTACGAGTTATGGCAATTATCGAGCAGGTCCTGGTAGAACCTTCAGTAAATCATTCGCAACCATTAAAGATGAATTATTTAAATCAATATCACAATTTACATCACATCCAACATGTTCATGGCACAAGTGCCGGCGTTTCACGAAGTAAATCAACATCCCCCATGTCTCATGATCAGGAAAGTGTTCAGGTTTACTTATTCTCACCCAGTAAGTTGAAAACTGTCTATTTATTGTCGATGAAACTCCGAAAATTAAGAACGTGATTTTTAGTATGGATAATGATTTTACAGCCATCGGTGTACGTTGTAACCCGTACGTTATTGTGAAAACGATTGTTATGTTATACCTGTAATAATTGCATCAATAAAGTTTTATAGATACTATCATTCCAGTAACTTGTGTTCTGACACAGATCTTGTGATTTTACCCAGATTAGATGTGATCTCACACGGAGCATGGGAGTTGTTGTCTGTTCTGATCAGATCGTAGTGGAATTGTGTTTGAAGCTTTGATAGTTCACTTTGAAACTCCGGTTCAATTTCTCACTGATAACCTGCGCATGCGCCTTGACCATGGCATTACGTGTGAGTATTCTCGCATTCTCGCGATTTCATCCATTTGTGTCCTGATCGCGATTGCTAGATTACCAGATTTTACAGCATGTCCAAGGGTCACATTAATATATTGTCGAGTTTTGACGAGAAGTGCCTTGTACAAAAATCACCAGAATGCGAGAACGCGACATTTAGGCCAAATCCTTAGTTCTCGCGCTCTGGCATCCTCACACATTTGGCATATTTAGCTTGTTCCCAAAGGTTTGAGATCGCGAGAATGCCCTCTTACTGTATCCATTATATGAGTACAATGTCCGGATCTCTTTCTTAACCTGCTCTGTCGCAACTTCTAAACACACACGTCTCACGCCGTGCTGTACCCGAAGAATTGACCCATACCTCTGTAAGTGGGTTTAGTTTTACGCCGCACTCAACAATATTCCAGCTATATGGCGGCGGTCTGTAAATAATCAAGTCTGGACTAGACAATCCAGTGATCAACAGCATGAGCATCGACCTACGCCATTGGGGTACAGACCCGATCCCGTTAGTCTCCTCTTACGACAAGCATGGGTTACTGAAGATCAGTTCTTACCCGTGTATGTACCTATGTAGGGAATTGAACCCGGGTCTTCGGCAAGACGAGTGAACGCTTAACCACTTGGCTACCCCACCGCCCCTCTGTACATGGAAATTCGTCGACCAAATACAAAATGTCATTACCAGACAAATATGTTTATTTATTGAAACCGTAAAGGGGGCATACGTGAAAGATGGTGGAGGAATACTTTTCACGTCACCACAACTTGAGTTTCTATGCTGTGAGAGTCGTGGAACGTCTCCTACGTCACAGGTTAACCCCCATATCTCTTCAAAACATGGGAAGGTCGGGCCACCTCTTCCGGGCACCTGGTCAGTCTGATCTGCAACAGGGAAGTATGACAAGTAGTGAACACGCAACAAACAGGTAATGATGACCGAAATGCACAGAATGACAGTTATCAAACATCAACAATTAATAACAGAACAACGACGATATTTTAAATATGTCTTCATCAACGAAAGAAAACAATCAGTTTGTTTGCTGTTTAACGCCATATTTAACGCCATATTTAACGCCGCTTACGACCAGCATGGGTCATTTCTAACCTGTATCTTCGTGGATCAAACATACACAGCCTCTTCCTTGAGTGAGTGAGTGAGTTTAGTTTTACGCCGCACTCAGCAATATTTCAGCTATATTTCGACGGTATGTAAATAAGCGAGTCTGAACTAGACAATCCAGTGACCAACAGCATGAGCATCGATCTACGCCATTGGGATGCGATGACATGTGTCAACCAAGTCAGCAAGCCTGACCACCCAATGCCGTTAGTCACCTCTTACGACAAGCATGGGTTAGTACCCGTTACTGAAGATCAATTCTAACCCGGATCTTCACGGGTCGTATTTCCCTTGAACAAAACATCAAGATAGTAATGATGACTGCATGGATTAATCACTGTAAAATCAATGATGACAGCACATGTTCGCGAAACATGTCAAGCTCTATGGGGTTTCCTTGAAAGGTACATATTCTATATAAGGTATCAAAGATTGAACTGGGCCTATTTTCAACAAGTGTCTCAAAAATATTTCTGAAGAATGTTTCAGTATCTTGACAGCTTGAAAACCTGACATTCTGTCCCTCGAAAACATTTTAAAAAATAAATATTCTATTGCGGCAATATTGTTGACTTTGTGTTCTCTATATTACAGCATTTTTTAACAACTTACCTTAAGTATATAGTCAAAAAGCAATATACTCAATCATGATTGACAGAGGATTTTACGAGGACGATGTACGCTATGATCTATTATGCAAATTGCTACATGTACTCGAACATAACCTTTACAAAAATAATACAGAATATAAACGGTTGGTGACAAATCCAAGAAGACAGAAAAACTAATCGGATTGTACTCAATAACATCAACGTGCTCGTCATTATCACTCATTAGTCCAAAGTACGTAAAGCTTTGCAAGGAGTGTTAAACCTTTTTGTATTAGCAGTAACTCTTGTGTTAAACGACTGTTTGTTAGGATCAGATATTGGCATCCTTTACGAGTCATTAGTTTACACCTAAAATTCTCAACTGTCGCTTTTTGTCATATTTCGTGTCGATTTTAAATAAACTACACAGAACGCCCAGACAAGTTTCTCCATATATTTCTCTTGTTATCGGGAGATTAAAATGTTTCACAGTGCCAATGCGATTGTTTTATGAATTATTTTGAACGGAGAGTACACTGAAGTTGACAGGTAATGTCTTCATAATGTAACATAATATTCAGAGCTTTATAGAAACACCAATAAAATACTAAAATCTACTACTCTCAGAATACACTGGCGAAAAACTATCGTCTTCGATACGAATACATATTTTGTCCACTAAAGTATGAGCTCTCATTTAGCCAGTAAAGTTTCTGAATTCATATCTGAGCGGTACAATTGATATTATAAGTGGCAGTACAGCCCATTTTCAATGTTCACTCAGTCGTGAACTTCTTTGAGAGGCATTTTAGAAGTTGTGCAGATGATGGAAAAGCTAGTTCTGCGGATAGTCAACTTCTTTATTCCAATCGATACTTGATAACGGTGTTAGTACCTACACCGAAACGTCTCACTCATTGCAATAAAGACGTTGACTGTCCATAGAACTTGGTTTTCCTTCAGCCATGAAGAATACAGTCATGAAATTATGTTGCTAAACACATGAACTGTAACATTTACTCGGTTATACTGTGAATGTATTGGTATTTTAGATAAAATATATATTATTCTTGTGACGTTGATGAAAACATATGTTGCTGGGAGCACTTACGTTGTCCATGAAGCCCACAAAGCCCTTGGTACCATGCGACATGCCGACGACCAACGGTGAATTCTTGATCTTTATGCCAGCACCTGTATATAGGTATTATGTCCATATTATGATATATACGATATGTGATAAATGTATGTACTACTGATGTCATGTGTCTTCTAATACCGCCTCTCTGGTACAGTGGATACAGAGTCTGCATGAGTGAGTGAGTTTAGTTTTACGCGGCTTTTAGCAATATTTCAGCAATATCACTGCGGGGGACACCAGAAATGGGATTCGCACATTTATGGGGAATCGAACCCGGTTCTTCGGAGTGACGAAAACGAACGTTTTAACCACTAGGCTACCAAACCGCCCTGAGTCTGCAAGAAGAGGTGATGGTCAGAGCCAAAGACGTTAAAATTGGTGATTGTTACAGAGCTTGTTAGGGGCATAAAACTCGAAGTCAGTATACTGCGTCAGGGGAGTGTCAGGGAGTATCTTCATACACGCACACGCACACGCACACGCACATATGCATATGTATATATAGATTTCTGTAACATGCCAATTACTGTAACATATGCCCACTACTGTAACATCAACAAGTGCGGTGATTACGTACCGTGTACAACCTTGGTGGGCGGCAGGTTGTCCACCTTCAATAGTATGGCACTCTTGTATTTAGACAGCCACACACGATGCTTCAGATGCGGTGCCTGGATAACAAAACATACACAACGTGTTTATTGTACGGAGGAAGTGGTAGTGTGTCTTTGATACCCTTTATATTACATTATATATTGTCCTCCTGAGAGGGTACGTAAGTCCCAAAACATTCAAAGTAAATGTAAACCTACTACCATTTTAATCCTAGAATATATGTTCGCTTAATTTGTGGCTATATTATCTAACATTGCTAATAGCTGAAGCGATTGTGTAAATCCAGCTAGGGTCCATGCAGGAAGCAAATGTACTGTAAGTCCCCATGGTCCCTACTATGGTGATCTACCTTCAGTTGTTGGCAATATATAGCCTGTTTTTACCTTGTATTGTCATATATAGTTAAACTGTTTTAGATTTAATTACTAGTTTTAAATTCGAATCTGTGATAATCTAGTTATTTCACTGTCCTTCGTTGACAGGTTTTTAACAATTTACCATTAATTACTATGTATAAAATTAATTGTTCTCGTCACGACATGGCTGAAATATTGCCGATGTGGCGATAAATTTTAACTCACTCACACACACATTATATTTCTTTGCTAGACTAAAATGCAATGGTACACCTTTTCTCTATCTGCCTTATTGTACAAAGTTCTCTACAATAGCCTTCTGAAAAGATTTCGGATTGACAAAAACATGATCATTTACTAGCATTTCCTATACGGTCAGTTCGATTTGTGTTACTTATACTTCCTGGTTTAATGAGCAATAAGTAAGTCTTTATAGTCCAATATATGGTGAAATAATTTGCATATAGAGCATTGTCGAAAACCCCGAATCGATGCAGGTCCAAACGTTTACCAGTTTTGGTGACAACCCCCAAAAAATTATAGGAGAGATCTAGGATCCGAAGCCACATGCATTGCATTGTGATGTATTTGAACGTCGTCACCGTTGATATGTTACAGGTGCAGTCGCATTGTGGATTACTGTCGGCGTAGTCACATTGTGATGTATTTGAACGTCATAACCGTTAATATGTTACAGGTGCAGTCGCATTGTGGATTATTGTCGACGTAGTCACATTGTGATGCATTTGAACGTCATAACCGTTAATATGTTACAGGTGCAGTCGCATTGTGGATTATTGTCGACGTAGTCACATTGTGATGTATTTGAACGTCATCGTAGTTGTGATGCATTTGAACGTCGTCACCGTTAATATCTTACAGTTTATTATTGTCGACGTAGTCACACTGGGGTATATTTGGACGTTGTCGACGTTAATCTGTTACAGGTGAAGTCGCATTGTGGATTATTGTCGACGTAGTTGTGATGCATTTGAACGTCGTCACCGTTAATATCTTACAGTTTATTATTGTCGACGTAGTCACACTGGGGTATATTTGGACGTTGTCGACGTTAATATGTTACAGGTGAAGTCACATTGTGGATTATTGTCGACGTAGTCACACTGGGAAATATTTGGACGTTGTCGCCCGCCTATAGTATTACGGAGTCCAGCTAAATGTCGGCGATCTATAAATAATCAGGTCTGGGATAGACAACCCAGTGATTGATACCATAAGCATCGATCTGCTCAATTGGGATGCGATTACAAGCATCAATCACGACAGCGAACCTGACCATCCAGTCGCGTAAGTCGCCTCTCACGACAAGCATATTCATTTCTAACCTATATCTACGCGACAAGGATACGATGACAGCATCATCTGACCCAGCAAGCATGTTCCCACGATACCGCCTCTAACGACAAACAAGACACAAAATGGTATTTTATAGTAAGATGTCTGGATCGAAGTATTCTGAACAACCTGGATGGATGGATGAATGGATGGATGGATGAATGGATGGATGGATTGACGGTTTCAAACGGTCTAAATATAACTATATACATCTCTACTATACATGAAAGTAAAGTAGGTGAGTGAGTATGGTTTTACGCCGCTTTTAGCAATGTTCAAGCAATATCACGGTGGGGACACCAGAAATGGGCTTCACACATTATACCCATGTGGGGAATCGAACCCGGGTGTTCGGCGTGACGAGCGAACGCTTTAACCACTAATGTACCTCACTGCCCCATACATGAAACATTTCAAACATAATACAGGAAGGGTTCCATAAATTTCATGCATGGTAATGTGTTACAGGGGATGTCTTTCGTATACTCACCACGCCCTTCACAACAAGGACCATCTTCCTTCCATCTTTACCCTCCATTCGTGCAATAACCTCTCCTCGGACTGTGTCAAGGGTCATTTTCAAGGTGAAGTACAAATCGTCCTTAAAATCGTTGGCCATGAGAGCTACTTCTCCTTTGTCTTTACCAAGATAGTGAAAGAAGAAGGTCAAGGCAAACATCGAGTCAAGATCAAGACCGTCCATCATCCAGATGACGGCATAGCCTCCTTTATCGAACCGAACCTTGTCATAAGACGGAGCCACGGGACCACAGGTTGTCAATGAGGCCTTGTTGAACTCGTCCAGGGTGTTTCCATTGAACATGAAGTTGAACAATGCTGAACACCCTGCAATAAATTTATTACACCAGGTTATTCGTTATGCTTTTGACGTTCAACATTGTACTAATGTGTCAATAAAAATTTCCAACTGTGTTTGTCTCCCAACAACAATTGACGGGGATTTAGCCTGGTCTGGATGACATGAAATAGAGCAGAATAAATAGAAACGCCAGAAATGTTATTGCGTGTCAATTATGCAAATGTATTGTGAACTTGGTACAGAAATGCCACGTATAAGCTTTCAAAATTCGTTTATGCGTTAAAAAAGTTTATATTTGTATGCATACAACCTCAAAGTAAGAGAATGTCGATTCTAGATTTCTAATATCCAGATTCAAGTGGACGTAAAGGGCAAAGTTGTAGGGGAAAGTATTTGAATAAAAAACTAAAAATCAATCATGACTCCAGGTAAAAGTAAACATATCAACTTTTCAACCGGTAACGCCGACATACACACAATTTACATTAAACAAATTAATTGACTCTTTGTTGCCTGACGCCATACTACATGACATGAGCTCTATGGTGGCATCCAATATCTCTTAATCCGAATCAACTTGAACTTGTCATACCACATGGAACCCATATGACATTGTATCATATCATACGCATTTGTTCTGCTGCCTAATATGTTTATATACAGAACAAATAGCGGTACAAATATTTCTACGTAAGTGTTGTTTAGAACGGAATCTTTGTGAAGATTGGGTCGTGAACAATACCGTCAGTTTTACATTTCATGTGGTCCTTGGTGGATATTTGTCTTCGTAGCAAAAGTATTAAACATGTCAATCGTCAAAAATCACACGTAAACAAAATAAAACTGTATTATGTGATTGCCGCCGTGATGGAGACTGAGATAACGGTGACAGCAGCCTGGTTCCCTGGGTCTGCTGCGCTGACGCTTCGACACTGACTATCTTATACATGGCTTTTCATATAAACAAACATCTATAGGCTAAATATTAGAATGACAAATTCATTCAGAACCACCCTTTCTCGGATTTTTCAAAAGTAAATATATGGCGTCGCCCAGCAGTCATAGCCGCCATTCGGTTGTCATTGCCATGGTCAGTGTCAAGCGTTAGCGCAGCAGACCCCGGGAACCAGGCTGATGGTGACAGAGGCGTTAATCAACACAAACTTTAGCCAGACCAGTTTAAAACCTACTTACTTTGTTTTGGAGGGTGGAAGCCCCAGTCACATGCGCACTTGCGGGGGTTGAACAGCAGGCCATCTGGGCAGGGCATCTTGTATATTACCCCGCCCGCACCAGCCAAGTAGAACTTCGTGGGGTTCCCGGGGTACGGGTTGACGTGGGGTGGACAACCTGGAGGTCAATACAGAAATATCAGGCTGATAATGACGTCGTTGCAATGCATTAGAAAGAGAGGCGTTATCAATGTTGCCCAGTCTATTTTTCTGACTAAAATTCAAGAAAATATTACTAATCTCAAGAAGGGTCCTGTTGTAAATCTGTTACAGAGACCGTCAAGCTCAGCATCTATTATTCACCACATGTATCATTTCATTGCCATGTTATCTTAAGTGTTATTTTTTATTCATTACAGCATCGAGCAAACGCAGCCGTTTTCTACCTTGGCAATGGACAAGCAAGCGCAATGACACGTGAAATACAGAAATATCTGGCAATAACCCTGTCTTTGAGCATTGACGTTACAAATGAATATCGATCTTTGTGATACAACTACACAAAAAGAAACGCTGTGTGTAATTATGTGTAGATTGTTAAGTCCCGAAAATGCAATCAGAAAAAAGGTCTTGTATTTGCACTCATAAACCCCGGACTGTGTATAATTACAAACGTTAATTACTGTTTTCTGATCCAGAACCAATGAACATACCACGAGACCATGAAACAAGAATCGCCTAGTACAACATAATGCAGACTACAACGAACTACAAGAGAAAGGATATTAGTTTGTTGTATACGGAGTTCTATGTATATGTTTTCGGAAACGTCCGCCATTTTGTAAATATTAGAACATTGTAGGCGTACTTGCAGCATTAGCTTGTATAATCAAGGTTCACTTTAAATCAGGACTTGAAAGAAAATCTGTTTTTTTGTAATTCTATTGGTTATTTCGACCGCTATCAGTATCATCCGTAAACCAATTAGAACAGTATATAGACGTAAAAGATAATACTCACCCAAGCCCTTGTGTTTCCACGAATATTGTTTACAGCTGGGAGACCGTATGCATCGTTTACCGCGGAAGGCGAAGCCTTGACGACAACGACGGTAGACGGAACGTCGCCTCTCACAGATGTAGTAGCCGTAGCAGTAGGCGCCGTCGGAGTAGGCGTAGCCAGGGGGGTGCCTCTTACAAGGATCTAGCATTCAACACAAAATGGGTATTGGCGATTTTTTAGGATTCAACATGGAGAAGAAAATGGTCTTACACAGACCTAACATCAAACACATCTAAATTAGGTAAGTTGAAAGTCTCACAACATCAAACGGTGAATGAAGTGTCCTAAAAGGCTCTAGCATTAAACACTAGGAAATCTCCTGCCGCCTTCCACGTGTGTCCATGTGCACAAACAGATCTACAATTGTACATTCATGAGATCGCAATGTCAGGTGTCGGCTACAGTTGCCATTTACTTTATGCTCAGTGACGTACTTAATGCACGTTGAATTTCATGATGTTAATCACTGGATTTTCTTGTTCACACTTGGTTATTTGCTGCCCACCGTCACAGATGGAACATTGCTGGGTGCGTTAAACAACATACAAAAAGCTGATAACTCAGATGAGACTTTCCAGTTGTGGGGTAACTTGCTATTGTGAGTACAAGATTAACGTTAAGTATTAATTGATTGTTTCATATACTCTTAAAATCAAATAGAACATTGTTGTAAAATTTTGAAATTTTCAAATGTATCCAATGTAAAATTAATACGTTATTAACTCAACACAGAGAGTATTCTCGGTGTATGTGGTCAGTGGAATGGGGTGTTGTGTTTGACTGGCAGTTGGTTTAGAAGTGAGGTGGTGAGTAATACATATGACGACGTGCAGTAAAGAGCTTGTATTAACAAGCTGGTTTTATAGTGCTAGCCCACTGAGAATGAAGCATGAATACCCACTCAGACACATTATACGACTCCGAGCCGACCAGTCCTTGTTGTATATGCCGATAAACAAGTTCATATTTTTACCATAAAGTCGGGGATCGAACCCGCGACCTTACTTTCTTACACACGGAGGCGGTCGGTGAGTAATAAGAGAAGTAAAGGGTACCTGTCACGTTTCGTATATGATAAAACGTTCATTCATGCGAGTCATTTCATGAAAGTGCGAGAGTTAAATTAATGCCAAAAATGAGAGTGGTCTGTTTCTCATAAACTAAACATTTCATTTATTTCATAACTGATTGTTGAGAAGAGGATTTCCCTTATCTTCCTTTCAGATGAACGAACAAGTGATAACAAAATATATGAAAATATTCCAGCAATATTTCATACCAATAATGGACCATGCGTGACGAGCCAAGAATTGCGAGGGTGAAATCTACCACTTGCCTACCGCTAAGAACAAGTGAGACAGGACACTCATTCTGAGGAAAAGAGTTAAAGCGCATTAACACTACATATGACACTGCGTGGTGTCCGTTCCATCAGACCCTACCGTCTTTACAGTCCACCTCCTCGGCATGGCGACACTTCTTGCCATCAAAGAAAGTCCCCCGGTGCGCATGTCTGCAACTCATGACTTTTGGCTGCGCAATGGGCGAAGACGTTGCAATATCCGGGCACTCTATAGTAGCCCAGTCCCGTCTCCAGCAGGCACTTATCACAGAATCCTACAACCGATACACACTGGCATCTAACACACGAACACTTTAACTGTTAAGGAAAACATGAAGGAAACATTGAAACGCAAAGGAAAATAGAGTTATTTCCTCCTGAAACTACACAGCACTACTACAAAAACTACTGCGACAACACAGAAGACAATGCAGTAACACTAGAAGCATGGACAGTTACTACAAATACAGGTGGACATAACAGTCTACTGACATTCGAACCATTTCAAACTCACTTAACAAAGCCTTTTTTCTTACAAACCCACAGTACTACATAAACACATAGAAACAAGTAGAACGTTTCTTCATTGTGGCAAGAGTACGCCCTCATGAATTTGTATGTTTGAGGGGATAAATGTTTACATCGCTTCGAGCGTGTTGCAGCATATTCCTCACTGACCAGATGAAATAAAAGGTGAACTTTACGAATATTTGGGCAATATTACAGAAATCAGAAATGGGATTCGTGCAATGCATCCATGTTGAATCGAACCCGGCTTTAGGCGCGTACAGCGAACGCTATAACCTCTCTGCTACCCCAATCCCCGATGATGTATAATACCAAGTGTGAAATATCTCTTTACCAATTTTTCTTAAAACCACTTAAAACCTGAAATTATTAACGCACGTTAATACGTTTCTATCAGCATGTTTTAATGAATAGTTAACTGGAAAAAAACGAGTGGCATCATCTAACGATATTTTAAACGCTTAGGATCTCAGCAAACATTACACATGGTAGATATGAAACATCTGTATCAACTTCAGTCGTAAGGGTTAAACAAAAATATAAATTGTACCTTGGTCTTAAATATACATCAAGCTATACTTACTTTTTCGGATGCGTATTGCTCCTTAAAAATCACGCTCACATATAGATGGTACAGTATCACATGAATAAAAAAGTTAAACACTATATGATTCACCTGTTCGCCTAATGAGAAAAGAATGCGCTATACCGATTATTCAGTCAATCAAAGTGGAATGTATAAAACTTACATCAATCAATCTTTATTCATCATACTAAAACAAAGCGACTGAAAACCTTTTTTTCGTATTACTCGTATTCTCAAATTAAAGTTTGAAATCTAACACCACCGAGATGTTCTTGATGGTACTCTTTATCCGTTTATTGTTTCGATATCAGTAACATATTACCAACATATTAAACAGCATTTAATGCTGATACTGAGTAAACCAGGCAGGGCTCTTAATGACCCAAGTAGCCCAGTGGTTAAAGCGTTCGCTCGTCCCGATGACCCGGGTTCGATTCCCCAAAATGTGTAAAGATCATTTCTGGTGTCCCCCGGCTTGATATTGCAGGAATATTGCTAAGAGCTTCCTTATTCACACTTACTGACCCATGTTTCTGTTACATGATAAATTGTAAAATGTTTAAGGAGTATAAGCTTCAGTAAAGTCACAGAGTAATTGTGTGAGTAATTGTGTGGATCAAGGAAACGCATTAATGTCATTTCAGTTATGATGCCAGTAGTTAATCAGCCGTGTTTAAGAACTTACTTTTCACATATGAAGCTTTCGGCCCCTGTGAGTGGACAAGTCCCAGTAGGACTGATGTCGCTACAAGAACCGTGAGGCTGACTTGAGCCATGTTGGAGGGATCGCCGTACGTCTCCGGGAGATGTGTTCACCTGCCGCTCCAACTCTGTACTGCACTATACCTTGAATCAATCACGTGACACAGTTAAAGGCACACTTAGCATCAAAGTTAATTCTGTGTGCTATAAATCATATCTCAGAACCGCAATTCTGAACAACTTGACAATACTCGTCAGATTCGTGATTGATCCCAGTCACTGGTGAGATTATCGTCCAGGAGGTATTGCAACGACATGTACTGCACAACTGAACTGCCGCTAATGGATCACCTTGCAACCCATGACGGTTGACAGTTGTCTATATATATATGATATGTCTATATACTACAGACAATAATGTTTGTCAGGGGAGATTATAATTGGATCAGGCAGCGACCACATGGTGACGTCACGTCATGTGATCTGGAGGCGGGATAGGATTGTCGAATGACATTGAACGTTATTTAAAAATGTGCTTACGAATTATGAATAAATACTCACTGGAAGAGAAGCTCATTATCATGCCCTTTCATCAGGCCACTGTCGAATGACAGCAGTTCTGCGGGGTGACGCAAGGAAACAAATTAAACCTTTTACCCAAATTGTGCTGTCCGCGTTTCTCTTTATGCCCCCATTACTATTTTTCGGTAGATAAGGGACTGATCATTCTCTGGCAATGACGTTTTGACGTGGTTGTCACCATATTTGATGTCCCTCCGCAATCGTCAAATTTGAAAAATGGATTTTAATGAAAAGTGTTATAAGAAACAGAAGTGAGTAGAATTCTTGTTTTGTGATATATGTGATATTTTGCGATATATATGTTTCATCTGAATTTTATTGAGGTATAACAGCAAAACGTGTGGTAATCTAACGTTTAAAAATGTTGACATGATGGTTATATCACGTAACTCACGGATATGGTTATATCACGAAACTCACGGATATGATTATATCACGTAACTCACAGATATGGTTATACCACGTAACTCATGGATATGGTTATATCATGTAAGTCATGGATATGGTTATACCACGTAACTCAGGGATATGGTTATACCACGTAACTCACGGATATGGTAACACCACGTAACTCACGGATATGGTTATACCACGTAAAGTCACGGATATGGTTATATCATGTAACTCATGGATATGGTTATATCACGTAACTCACGGATATGGTTATATCACGTAACTCACGGATATGGTTATACCACGTTAACTCACGGATATGGTTATATCATGTAACTCTTGGATATGGTTATACCACGTAACCACGGATATGGCCAGGCCACGTAACTCAAGGATATGGTTATACCACGTAACTCACAGATATGGTTATATCATGTAACTCAAGGATATGGCTATACCACGTAACTCACGGATATGGTTATATCACGTTAAGTCACGGATATGGTTATATCACGTTAAGTCACGGATATGGTTATATCATGTAACTCTTGGATATGGTTATACCACGTTAAGTCACGGATATGGTTATATCATGTAACTCTTGGATATGGTTATACCACGTAACTCACGGATATGGTTATATCAGGCCACGTAACTCATGGATATGGTTATACCACGTAACTCACGGATATGGTTATATCATGTAACTCACGGATATGGCTATACCACGTAACTCACGGATATGGTTATATCACGTAACTCACGGATATGGTTATACCACGTAACTCACGGATATGGTTATATCATGTAACTCATGGATATGGTTATATCACGTAACTCACGGATATGGTTATATCACGTAACTCACGGATATGGTTATACCACGTAACTCACGGATATGGTTATATCACGTAACTCATGGATATGGTTATACCACGTAACTCACGGCTATGGCTATACCACGTAACTCATGGATATGGTTATATCATGTAACTCTTGGATATGGTTATACCACGTTAAGTCACGGATATGGTTATATCATGTAACTCTTGGATATGGTTATACCACGTAACCACGGATATGGCCAGGCCACGTAACTCAAGGATATGGTTATACCACGTAACTCACGGATATGGTTATATCATGTAACTCAGGGATATGGCTATACCATGTAACTCACGGATATGATTATATCACGTAACTCACGGATATGCTTATATCACGTAACTCACGGATATAGTTATCTTACGTAACTCACGCATATGGATATATCACGTAACTCACGGATATGGTTATACCACGTAACTCACGGCTATGGCTATACCACGTAACTCATGGATATGGTTATATCACATAACTCATGGATATGGTTATACCACGTAACTCACGGCAATGGCTATACCACGTAACTCATGGATATGCTTATATCATGTAGCTCGTGGCTATGGTTATATCAAGTTTAGTCACGGATATGGTTATATCATGTAACTCTTGGATATGGTTATACCACGTAACCACGGATATGGCTATGCCATGTAACTCCAGGATATGGTTATACCACCTAGCTCACGGATATGGCTATACCACGTAACTCATGGATATGGTTATACCACGTAACTCATGGATATGGTTATACCACGTTAAGTCACGGATATGGTTATACCATGTAACTCACGGATATGCTTATATCACGTAACTCACAGATATGGTTATACCACGTAACTCATGGATATGGTTATATCATGTAAGTCATGGGTATGGTTATACCACGTAACTCAGGGATATGGTTATACCACGTAACTCACGGATATGGTAACACCACGTAACTCACGGCTATGGTTATACCACGTAACTCATGGATATGGTTATACCACGTAACTCATAGATATGGTTATATAACGTAATACCTTGCGCTGGCTCTTCACTGTTTGAAGGCGGATGGGTAGCCTAGCAGTTAAAGCGTTCGCTCGTCATGCCGAAGACCCGGGTTCGATTGCCTACATGGGTACAATGTGAGAAGCCCATTTCTGGCGTTCCCAGCCGTAATATTGTTGGAATATTGCTAAAAGCGGCGTAAAACCACACTCACACACTCACTCACTCACTCATTCTTCACTGTGTGAATACACACTCCACCTTAAGATACATTTCACCATGACAGGGAAGTACGTGATTTATGAGAGCCATGTTTGTTTTAAAAATACCTGTCAGAAAGATTAACTTGGTCATCGCTCACGTGTTTTTCAATTTTTCTAAACACTGAATTTGAACTAAAATCACGGTTCTGTTTTTCTAGGCATCTGCATCTATCGAGAATCAAAAACTATATCTGAGATTTATTAATGTGAATGATTGTTTTGATCTCGTGTTGCCAGGTGAGAGATTG